TTTATCCAACCGTTCTGGTCGTGTTTACTAATTCAAAAGCGGTTATACAGAATATTGTAATGCCACCCTGTTTCCGTGTGCAAAAAGGCAGAAGTGGTCTGTCTTTCAATGAAAACACTATTTTAAGAAATGCTTTGCCCACCTATATTATGTTGATATTGTCTTGTATTTATGATGCAATACAAGCAAAAACATATTTTTGTTTAACATTGTTGTTCGATATTCTATACTGTAGATCAAGTCAGACAACGATTTATTATGCCACGTAAGAAAACCAAAAGAAACACATATGTATCCTTATATTCAACGTAGTATGGCACTCGTGAGTTTTTCACATTGTACGCATATCGTAGTATGGCACTCGTGAGTTTTTCACATGATCCCATATGATTGCAAGGCGCTCGTAAATTTTTCACATGCTCGCATATGGTAGTATGACACTCTTGATTTTTTTACATGATCCCATATGGTTGTACGGTGCTCGTGAGTTTTTCACATGTACGCATATCGTAGTATGGCACTCGTTAATTTTCCCCATGGCCACATGTGGTTGTAGGGGTGCTCGTGAATTTTTCACATGTTCGCATATGATAGTATGGCACTCGTGATTTGTTCACGCATATGTGCGCATGTGATAGAGTGGTGCTCGTGATTTTTTCACTGCTTTTGGTTCACTGTCAATCTGTTTTTTGAGAAAACCCCGTAAAATAGTATATATATATATAATGTCATTTTAGCAGCGGTGGTTTCCATAGACCATAATGAAAACACATTTCCTCGATAAAACCCCACTAGAATATTGCAACTTGTAATACTACTTGGCATCTTACATAGTAAGACAGAATTCTATTCCTTTTTTTTCACTATATGTCACCGAGCAATTTTTTTAGATATTGAGGTATATCCGTTTTCTAGGAAACAATGGTAAAATGTCCTCAAAAGCAGACAAAACATGCTATTTTCACTACACAGATTTTCTTATGAACGGTGACCTCATATTTGTTTTCTATTGTTTCATCATCCTTGTAACATGATATATTAAATATGTTAAAATGACAATATTTTTATAATTTGTATAGAATTCCATCTTAATATGCGTGTTAAGTTTGAATGCGATCGACGGAGGTCAATTCTCCCTTTTTCAAACTGCGTCTGAACGGGGATATATTAATAAAATCAAAACCAAAAACCACTAAATACGCATGCGCAGTGATTGTTATTGTGCAGATCAATAGAACCAGCGCACATGTGTATCAGGACACTTCCTTGTTTTATCTAACGAATAAAATGTGCGCTACAAAAACAGTGTTCTCAAGTCATGATAAACCATAGTCCAATGTAATATCAATATAAAGTACAAAACAACAGTATTTTTTAAAATCACATGTTCTTGTATATATGGCGTCTTGTGTGAATATATAATTATGTTTATTTGTTATGGAATATGAATATTTTGATTCAGAACGTCATTGCAAATCATAAAAAAAAGCATTTGCATGTTATAAAAGACTTTCTGGTTTAATAAGGCGCAATGAATCAAAATTACATTCTCCATGTTGTCACACGCAACGTAATATTACCGTAATTGGTATAGTACAGGTGTGATGGTTCAAATACCAAAATGGCAACAGTAACATAAAGACTTCCCTGGCGGCGATGATAACATACGAACACGGAGCCAACAGATGAGGTGTCATGAAATTGTTTTTGCGTATCTGTTAACTGACTTAATTAGTTGATTATTAGCTGAATTGCTGTGTTATGTCTGTCATCGTTTAGGTCTATTTGAAGTTTTGGACGGAACTTGGCTCAGTGATTTGGAACTAATTACCAGATAACCGTCGCGATTCTGACAGTTGGTATTCATAGTTATTAATGTAGTGAACGATTAATCAAAAGATATGACGTATTCAGTACTTAGTGTGATTGGCTTTATGATTGAAGGTTACGCCCTAGAGTCTTTTACTGTTTTGTAATTGGTTAGAGTTTTGAAAATGAATAAAGAGAGTTTGAGTTGGTCTTGGCGAATACTCCACGACAGACGCAGTCGAGAGTCCAGTCAAGGGGCGAGCCTTGAGGCAGTCCAGTCTTGGGCGAGTCTTGGTTCAGCCTTGTGAGAGTCTTGGGGACTTTTCCCCAGGGCGCTGTGTCTGGTAGAGTGCTCGATTGACCGACTGAGACGAGAGCTGAAACGTATTTCGTTGTGTGTGTCTTATTTGACTGTAAAGTATAAGTGACTTTCCCGATCCCGTACCTCAAGGGGACGAGATATAGAGACGAGACGAGACGAGTTTCCCCCCTGACAAGTGTGGAGAACCCGAGAGTACAGAAATTTCCCCCTGATAGAGGTTTCAACTGGTACTGGTATTATTATACTCTGCAAACATCAAGTACAATAACGCGGTAAAACTCCACTACTACTACAGCCAGATCTGAAGGCCTTTGCCGCATTCTAGCCATGCTGTGTGGCGCGTATCGCGTGGACGGGTTTCACGTTCTCTGCACGTAATAAGCTCGGTTATGCCCGGTGGCCGAGGGGAGACGTATAGTGGCGTGAAGCTAGGCGATTAGGTGCCGTACGCGAGCGCGGGTTCGAGTCACGCACGCAGTACGTATTTACTATAATTAGACATAGTCTTTACCTTGCCGTTTATTCGGTGTTATTTGCTTACTCCAATAACTAGATACTTAAACTCCAATACAATTCAACGAGATCTCCGATCTGATCTCAGTGCTGAACAACTCCCCTATATATACCCACACTGTCTATAACAACAAATTAAACGCATCTTTGTCATTTTTACCCAGAGAATAAAGTCTGGTACGTTTGTCCCCGGGGTTTTCCTAACCTGTGACAACATCGCCAATATTCAGGTGCCCATATTGTAATATTTATACTAATCATATACATATAAGAAAAGTCTAATATAGTTAAGGATTTTTTAATATATATCGCAATTTGCGATATATTTATTTGTACATTCTCCAACAAGAAGACGTCTATGAAATTGTATATAAACAGTGTACCTCTGAAATAACCTGCTGTGAACACGTCCGAGGATTAGCATTGTTTTCATTGTTTTCGGTGAGAAGGCAATCAATCGGCGAGAATGTGGAATGCTACTGAATTCACTTAACTGTCATAATTGGTGAGAATAATATTATGATGAGAACACCTTTCTGAGCAATTCTCTTCGACACACTGCCTATCCGTACTTGCCGTATTAAATAAGAAGCAAAACATACATTTCAATTTCGGTGGGAAAATGCAAATCCAAAGCGGGTTACCTCATGCCCACGACGTTTGTGAACAGGATTCAACATTTTTTCTCTGGTTTTACACTCAACAAAAAATACCCAACACTTTGACTTTACCATTGAATTATGAAAAATTATATAAAATAAATATATTATATACATCATACAAGCATATGCCGTTGATATTCGACTGTGCATATGATTACTCTCAACACAACAAGGGCATTTCCTTCATCTCTATAAATATTTATAACTTTTATAACTGAAACGAGAGGCTTCTATTGGTCGATTGAATAGCATTACAACGTTTTCAGCTGACGTCGATGCGCACTATGCTCGTTGAGCGGTTGATTGGATTAAATTGCCTTTGAAATGTGTAAATATTTATAAAGAAGAAAGAACGCCCTTGTTGTGCCAAGAGTACTATCGGCACAACTAACTCATACTTTTCAATTTTATAAATATTTATAGCAGCGTAGTGCATATGTTCCAATGTTATTCCGACGGTAGATAGAAACTCCTCGTTTCAGTTTCAATTGTGAACTTTATAAATATTTATTAAAATAAAGCGAATAGGTTTGTCGCGTTGATAGTACTATCAGAGAATATTGGAATCAGTGGAATATATTTTAGTTACTTGATGTGAAAATAATCAACATACGGCAGTCAAATACGTACTCTTAATAAAACATGCAGAATTCGCTAAAGATGGACGGATGTATGTACAACGTTTTGAGATGTGTAACAATAACTCTGATGTTGAACTGGATGACCCAAACACTGCAACATAAGGGATATTGACATAGATACATATGTTATTATATAATTACAAATATGTTTTTTTCGTCTTCAGATTTGTGAATGTACGTGCATTTATATACAAGAAATTCGGTAGTAGTCCTACCAGCAAATTACAGAAACGTTGCCTTTTTTAAACGCTTTTAAGGTCCATGAGAATTTCTCCCATCGTGACCGGTCATTGCGCTGTGACCTAGTTCATAGTTCCATGATG